GATGGCTAAGCATATGGGGCATCTGCCCTGGGTGTCCTGGCCCGTTGCCTGTCCTCTGTGGTAAAGGGCCTGCCCAGAGGTTGATGGGGTTCCTTGCCATTGGGGTGCTACATTGTAGAAGGTGTCTCTCTGTTTGGGATATTAGGCCCTCATCAGTTGTCTCATTCCCCAAGATCATGGTCCCCCAGCTGGCTGATCTCGTTCCGCTTTGATGAAATCTGTTGAGTTCAGAAGTCTTTCGGCTCCAGGAGCTCCCTGACATTTGCTTCCCAGTGTTCTGCTGCGTTTTCTGTTGCCCGTGCCTTTGTTGTGTCTGCTCATCTGTCTTGGGATTTAACATGTCACAGGTCCAGGCTCTGTTTTGCATTTGCGAGTGTGTGTGTGTGTGTGTGTGTGTGTGTGTGTGGTGTGAGGCATGGCTCTTGTTTCAGTCTTCTGCATGTGGACCTCCAGTTTGGCTTCCTTGTTGGTGATCCATTGGCAGTCGATGGTTTGTGCACCAAAGGGTTTCCATCACTGAGTTTTCTGAAATGGTCGCCAGACCTTTCTTTCGTCAACCTTTAGGTCAGTGGCCGAGCCTGTTAACCGCCCGAAGACTCTAAAGTCCTGAGGGCTGCCACACATGCGAAGCATCACAAGTTCGCCATTACAGTACCATGCAGAACATGGACAGTGCCCTAAGCGTTCCCTCTCCTGGAATGGCCGATGGCCCACTGGCATGGATAAGCATGCCCTGCCCTCCACTGTTCATCCTTATCCTCCTGGCTGCTTGTGCCCCTAGCAACCACTGTCCTCCTCGCTGCCCCCTGTGGAGTTGCTTTTCCCAGAACATGCTATAGGTAGAACCACGCCGTCTGTAAACAGCATCCTGATCACACCGAGAAAAGATGAGGGTGTCAGCATTTCATCTCACTTGGTCCATAATCAACGCTCATGAAACAGCAGTCAAGAGAGCAAACGACGCTTTGCGTCGGGTAACTCCGCTGTGCAAGGCCTCTTCAAAGTGTTGAAAAGCAAGGAAGTTCTTTTGAGGATGAAGGTGCACCTGACCCGAGCCAGGGTGTTTTCAGTTGCCTCGCAGCCATGGGAAAGGTGGACACTGAGTAAGGAAGACAGGAGAAGAATCAAAGATACCTCTGAATTGTGGTGCTGGAGAAGAAGATTGGAAGTACCATGGCCTGTCAGAGAATACGCAAATCTGTCCTGGAAGAAGTACAGCCAGAGTACTTCTTAGAAGCGAGGATGGCAAGATTCTGTCCCACGTACTTTGGGCATGTGGTCAGGAGAGACCAGTCCCTGGAAAAGGACAGCAGCAGGTCTGGTAAAGTAATGGAGCAGCAAAAAAATAGGAAGGCCCTCCATGACACGGGTTGACACAGTGGCTGCAACAATGGGCTCAGATACAATGATTATGAAGATGGTGCCGTGTTCTGTTTTGTGACTGAGAGCGTCTCCGTGAGGTGAAGCCAACTTGACGGCTCCTAACAACCACAACCACAACCACATAGCCTTCCAGACTGCCTTCCTCCTTCACCGAACTCGCTGCCATTGAGTCGATGGCAACCCTATAGGACAGGGTAAAAATTCCCCTGGGAGTTTCCAAGACTCTCACTCTTAGCAAGTGTGGGAAGCCCCAGCTTTCTCCTGAGCAGCGATGGGTGGTTTCGAACCGCTGAGTTTTGGGATTGCAGCCCAACACATAACCACGACGCCACCAGTGCTCCTGGCTTCTTTCTTAGCACGTGTCTTTTCACAGCTGGAGAGCTTAGGTTTTCCTATCGCCGCACCTTACATTCGTGCTGACTTGATAACATATTGCTTCTTGATTCCAACTGATCTTTTTTTTTAAACATTTTATTAGGGGCTCAT